CTATATCCACTGCGACCTCCAACCAGGAAAGTAACTATAAACGCATAACCCGCTGGCACTACACGCCCTCCAAACTAAGCAAAATGTTCCCAGGAACACAAAACATATGCTGGAGATGCGGGCAGGGGGAGGCTAATCCGACACATATCTGGTGGCAATGCCCTACAATCAAAAAGTTCTGGACCCGCATACACAAACTCATACAGATAATCATGCACAAACAGATACCCTTCAAACCGGAACACCTAATATTTATGATGCCTCTCCAAAATCTCACTAAAACGGAAAACTATTTAACATCCCAAATGCTCATGGCAGCAAACCATCTAATTCCTGTATATTGGAAACAGGAAAAGATACCTTCAATTAGGGAATGGACCAGCAGGGTAGAAAGTACTAGGCAGATGGAAGGTATAACACACGCACTATCCAAAAACTACATAACTTTCACGCAAACTTGGAAACCTTGGTCGATATACCTAGAAGGGGAGGATTGAGAAGTAGGAGTTAGACAGCAGCACAAATAATAGCACCAGATACGGGGGAATACTCAAAAAGTCATAAGTTCAGCTCTTTAAAAGCTAGAATAAGTAGCACAATTCACAAGTTGTATTTAGAAGTAGAAAAAAAAAAAAACTGCACTGAAAGAAACGTATCCTATACAATTTTCATCGTTAATTGTCTAATGCTTGTCTGGGTCTCACTATATGTCATCATCTGAATAATGTTTATCAACATACTGTAAATGTTATGCAACATTACCTGTTAAAACCACGCTGTTGTGGACTCGGATGTAATTAATGTACACATAATTACTACTATGAAAATGGAAAATCAATAAAAAATAAATACAAAAAAAAAAAACATAAACAGATCTCTACATCGCCAGGAATCCACAAATATACATATATAGGTGTAATTAACATAAACTTAATGACCACTTTATTAGGTATATCTTTCTATTACTATATAGGGTCAACTTTCTTGTGGGACGGGGGAGAAAGTACCTGCTTGCACCTGCTCTGGGTATGCCTTGGGTCTGCAACACAGAATGTAGCCCTCCCCTGTGGTGGCTGAGTGAGTTAGCCTGTCTGTCAGGAGTAAGGGAAGAAAACTGAGACTTGATGCCAGGCTGTATGGTGAAGGCTGTTTTCTACCTTGGCACTTTAATTTAGCAAATTAATTTCATTTGTCTGCAAAATTCCAAACATGTGGTGTATCTATGAACTGCGTAACCCCTTAAGGACACAACTTCTGGAATAAAAGGGAATTGTGACGGAATATTTCCGTCATATGTCCTTAAGGGGTTAAGGAGTCTGGGAAAGTAATGGTGTCATGCAGTGTCTGTGTACTTCATGGAACGTGTGTGTGTACTGCATTGAGTGTGTCTATGTACAGCATAGAGCGCATCTATTTACTGCATGGAGTGTGTCTGAATTGCAAATGTGATTAAATCTAAATTGGGGAGGGACAGGGTGAGCTGGGGACATGGGGATGTTGGGTCTTTGTTATTTGGCAGAGTCATGTGGGGATGTTTTTTGGTAATTAAAGGTTAATTGTTTGATGCAGTATGGGGTCCAAAAATAAATCCTGTATCAGAGCCCTTTGTTCATTAGTTACTCTACTATGGATATTCTGGAATTACTGACTCAATGAAAATTGCCAGTGCCAGGACTGCTACCACAACCACTTACACATATATAGGGCTCCCAGTGCCTGGACTGCCACCACAACCACTTACAAATCTATAGGGCTCCCAGAGCCCTACTGCCACCACAACCACTTACACATCTATAGGGCTCCCAGTGACAGGACTGCCATCACAACAACTTACACATCTATAGGGCTCCCAGTGCCAGGGCTGCCACCACAACCATTTACACATCTATAGGGCCCTCAGTGCCAGGAATTATCTTATTGATCAGGATTCTTGTCATCACTCACATAATTTTATCTCACTGTTTCTTGTTTTGCCACTTTTCAGAAATCCAAAGCACTTCAGAACTTCGGCAATTCGGAACTTAAGCAATTCTAAGTTAAGGCTTATTTTTTCCACCTCCGTCAGCTGTAGACCATTTACAGTATTGTACGAGCATATCTTTTGTGTTTTAAACCATGACATAAGTTGCATATACGTGAAAAGGGCTGTGTTGGGTACCCCATATTGTGTTTGGACCTCAGCAAATGGGTTCAGCACTGGGCCTTGACACAGGTGGAAAAGGTGTGTGATGTTGTGGGTTTGCCACAGTTTAGAGTTGAATCCCGGTATAATCAGGGCTAGTGTTTCTATGGGCGTTGCCAGGGAGGTGCCCCCTTTTGTTATATATGTGTCCCCAAATTGATCCCATATCTGTACTGTTCGGTTTGTCACTTCGAACTACCGAACTTCGGCACTTCGGACATTCGTAAGCATCCAAATGTCCGAATTGCATGAAATTCATCTGAATGTAAATTCGGAACGAAACGAATTGCACATGTCTAATAAAGGCTTGCCCAGTGATATCTTTATTGGTGTCCTGTGCCTAAGCTTCTCCTCAATAAAAGGAATCTCTTCCTTTTTAGACCTTCTCAGGGTTAAGGATCAGAATATTTTTTATTTTATCATTTTTATCAAACCTTTTTTTATTATTGTTTTCAGTTAATTACACCATGGTTTTACATTCTCATCTGCAGTACTGAAGGGGTTAAACCTGTGGTTAACCACAGTGTTGCACATGGTTTTAGGGCTCTTATAGCAAAAGCCAGTTGGTTTGTTAATTACTTGTAATTGCTTTTCCTCTTCAAAGCGCTGTTTAGCTTGTGATAACACCATCGTCAGCAGAAAAAGGCAGAAAAAGCATTCACAGAGCAATATTTTTACTGTGCATTTGTCCATTTATCAACAGCACCTTACAGAGAATGTGGAAGCCAAAAGCCTTGGTAAACATGAAAATTAACATGCAGTTACTCGGAAAACCGTATGTTTGGTAACCCAGTGGGAGTTTTGTTTCTCCCCATGTACTTAAGAGACCTTATGCTAGAACTAAATGTTTGACTTGTTTGGCAAAAGTAACTTTGTGCAGCCCTGCTGTTGTGGTGTCTAATTCTAAAAACTATTTATAAGGAACAATAAATTAATAGGAAAAAAAAGGAAAAAAGGAGCCTATGTAATGAGATGAGACAAAATAATGGTAGATAGTATAGAAATGGGGGGTAACCCCTAAATGGTTAAATTGAGAAACTAGAAAAAGGAAAAACAAAAACACTACCAATAGGTGTCTCTAAATAAATATAGTGTAGAGGTGGTAATAGTAGTTATCACAAATAAGGTTGTCACCAAACAAAATAAATAAAATTAAAACTTCACTTAATATAGATAATATTGAAAACTTTTTAAATGAAAATAAAGTAACAAAAAAGTAGAGACCGAGGTAGTTGGTCCTGAATGAAAATTATAGTCTTGCAATAACAATACTAAGCATTCTAAATCTGTATGACTACCTGAAAGAGACAATGTATCGAAAAATAAGACTTTCTAATGAAAAGTATCTATTTGTAAAATATATACAATACAGGTAGGGGGAGAAGCAATAAACCTTTTCCAATAACCAGACTCCACTGCAGAAAGAGTCTGGTCAGATAGTTGAGCTGCCTCAGTTAGGCAGAAAATGTATATACAAATTGCTTCATTCCACAAAAATAGAGGTAAAAGAATACTATAGAAGGGGAAAAAAAAGGGGGTATATGATATGAAAAAAGGTACTATAGAAGGGGAGATCGCTGATAAGAATAAATCACAGAGATCAATAGGTGATAGTCGGTAACAGAAAGAAAAAATATCACGTCCCTGTACCTAGACTGGACTTATCAGTGCAAAACTAATGTGCCTTCGAGGGCACCCCTTAAGTAAAATCTGCACTATTGCTCAGCCCCTCCACTAAGTAGCAAGACAGAAAATAAATAAAAAATAAAAACAAAATGGGCATGAAGCCCAATCTCAGGATGGCTGTTCAGAAAAGATAACTGTCAAATAAATGGCAGTGTGAAATAGAACACTGAGATATTGCCGACTACGGCGTCCTGAGCCCCTGACGCGCGTGTCTCGTTCAGGTACTCATCAGAGGGGAACTGAGATCCGGTAAGTATTGAGTTTAAATATGTGAAACTTTAATTTGCTTCGTTAGGGTTAAGTGACCATTAACCAATAAGGTCAGAGAGGAGGAGTATCTCAATTGCTGCCGGTATTAACTCTTTAGGATACTTAACCATAAAAATATATGTGGTGACAAAAAAGAGGATAATAGATTTGTAGAAAAATATGTTTAAAGTAAATTTTAAGACTTGAATAAAGATTAATACGCATAAAATCAATTGACTGTGTGAGACAAAGCTATATTCACATTGTAGATGAATGAGTTCTCAAATTAAAAAAACAACTAATTATTTTATTAGATACATAGTTATTAATAGATCCAAAAGTAATCTTGACAGATGAAGTGATATCTAGATTAAGGAAAACGCGGCCTGGCAAAAATCTTACAATCTGGCTACAATCAACTTATTCTTTTTTTTTTCCATATTTAGTCTTTATTTTTGCCAACAGCATGAAAACATATTACGTTGCAGTCAGATACTTTCAACAGGTATGTGCATTATTACATTACAGATATACATGCCGTCATTATGGTTCATTGTTTACGGTGGATACTTTGTACAGCTTGTGGTACATTCGTTTCTCTACTTGCATTGTGATATGGGCACATTATTTGCCCCTAGAAATGCGTTGACTGCAAAACCATGTAGTGATCAGTTTGTCGTTTGGAGTGGTCGGCCTTTTATAAGGGGAGGGGGAATGGAAACACAGGGGGGGGGGGATTGGGGGAGACCGTAATTTGGGTGGGGGGAGATCTAGGATTCCCAGTTTTTCTTCCCAGTATTTTAGCTTTCAGCTGTGAGGTAAGTATTATCTGAGGTGAGTGCTCTACATGGGGAGATACTCATGTCCTAAGGTTCCAACTTGCCCATTTCCCAGCGTACTTTCTTTCCTGTCCCTGTACTCTACTAGCCATCCTCTCGTAGGAGCTTATGACATCCACTCTTTCCATGAGTGTAGCCATGGTAGGTATTGTCTGGCTTTTCCAGTTTTGTGCTAGTAAGATTTTTGCTACTGTGAGGATGTTTATCAGTACTACCATGTGGGGGTGTGATGACAGACCAGGAATCATGTGTAGCAGGTAATGTTCTGGACGCAATTGAACAAGGAGACCTGTAGTGTTCAAAATAAGGTTTTGGATCTGTGTCCAGTATGCACCTAGTGCGTGACAGTCCCAGAACATGTGTAGCATGGTACCCGCTCCCCCCTCACAGCGCCAGCAGAGCCCAGATGTGCCCTTGTAAATCTTTGCTAGTCTATGTGGGACTAGGTACCATCTCATGGCTATTTTGCAATATGCTTCCCACAGCGAGAGGCTTTTGGAAGCGCCCTTTGTATTGGATAGTGCCTCGTACCATTGTGCCAGAGTTAGTTGGTAACCCAGTTCCCCTTCCCATTGCTTCATATAGGATCTTTTCTCACAGGGCTTTGGCTCCAGGAGAGCGTTGTAGCACATGGATAGAGGTTTTCCAAGCTTAGCGGTGAGAGCCCTATTGAGTGGTAGGGGCGGGTTCATGGACCCTGTACTAGGTTTGCGTATGTGTGGTAACAGTATGTTTTTAGTTCTAAGGTAGAGGAACACATCCCTTTGGGACAGGGAGAATTCCCTCTGGAGATCAGGGAACAGTTTGAGTTCGTTTCCCTCTAGTAGGTCCTTAACTCTGTGTATTCCCCTGGCTAACCAGCTTGCCATGGGTAGGTCTGGAGAGAATATGGTCAGGATCCCTAGGGGAGCTTCCCTGAAGAGCAAATGTGGGTCTAATATTAGGTGACTCCAGGTTCGCCACGAGCTCAGCAGAAACCTGGAGCACCGTGGGAGGTACGTTCCGTCAGAGTTGGTGGGGGCGCTGGCCCATAATGCGTGGGTCGTGTTATGTGGGTGCAGGTAGGCATCTTCCAGTGTGAGCCATAGTGGCTTAGGGGAGCTGTCTTGAAGTCTCAGTATGCGTACTCCCTGTGCTAAAATCGATGCCCTGTAGTACGTCTTAATATCAGGTAGACCCAGCCCCCCTTTGGTGAAAGCAAAGCTCAGGTTTCGTTGGGCCACTCTCGGGGGTTTTCGTTTCCAGACATGCGCATTTATAACAGATTGCATTAATTTTATTAATTTGTTGGGCAGTGGTATTGGTATCGTACGGAAGAGATATAAAATATGGGGCAGAGCCATCATTTTAATCGTATTTACCCGGCCCAGCCAGGATATCTCTAGGTTTTCCCATTGTTCTAGGGTCGATTTTAGTTTGTTTATGACAGGGTAGTGGTTTTCTTTAAGAACGGTCTGGTGGGATTTCGTCAGTTTGATCCCCAGATAAGTGAGAGACGTTTTACGCCAGTCAAAGGTGTAGTCAGAGGAGAGCTGCGTTTGCGTTTGGTGCGTTAGGTTGATTGGTAGTGCTTGCGTCTTAGTAGTGTTATTCTTATAGTAGGAAACCCTTCCATACTCGCTAAGAAGACCTAGAAGGGCAGGGATGGAGCTTGTGGGTTGTGTTATGAACATGAGTATGTCATCGGCAAATAAAGCCAACTTCTGCATACCCCTTGGTGTCGACAGTCCACAAATTTGTGCATTATTTTTTATATGTTTCGTCAAGGGTTCTAGACAGAGGATAAAAATGAGTGGTGACAGCGGACAACCCTGGCGCGTGCCATTATGTATTGTAAAGGGTGCGGATAGAAAGCCGGTACTAAAGACCTTTGCCGATGGGTATTGGTAAAGGGCCATTATACTTTTGAGGAAGGCTGGTGGGAGCCCCATTTTGGCCAGAGTTTGTTCCATGTATCCCCAGTGCAAGCGGTCAAACGCCTTTTCGGCATCCAACGCCAGCACCAGGCCCTGTTGAGAGGATTGGTTCGCCCAGTCGATGAGATCTAGAAAGTGGCGGGTGTTGTCACCCACTTGCTTACCCGGCACAAATCCCGCCTGCTCAGCGGAGATAAGTGTAGGGAAGAGCCTTTTGACCCGTGTGGCTAGCAGTTTAGCGTATAATTTAGTGTCCGAATTAAGAAGGGATATCGGCCTCAGATTGGCACACTGATTTGAGGGTTTGTTAGGTTTGGGTAAAGTGACAATAAAGGCTTCTAGCATTTCTCGGGGCATATTTCCTGTCTGTTTAATGTCATTGAATAGTTTTAGGAGGTGTGGTGCTAACTGGTCTGTGTATTTGATATAGTAGTAATTGGAGAGGCCATCTGGACCTGGGGATTTGTGCTTAGGGAGTGATTTAATAGCTTCCCTGATTTCTTCGTCAGTAAAGGGACAGGTCAAGTATGCACTCAAATCTGGAGATATGCAGGGAAGGGAAGCTTTTTCTAGGAAAGAATCTATTTCTGCTGTGGTAGGTTGGTGTGTTGCTGGGTCTGCATGCAGTTGGTATAATGACGCATAGTAATCCGCTAATGTATTCACTATGTCTTGGGGGTTATAGATTTTGTCACCACTTTTGGAGAATATGTAGGGAATCTTGGATTGGAGGTATTTTTGTTTCAGGCGGCCAACTAGCAGTTTGCCTGCTTTATTCCCTAGTGTATAGTGAGATTGTTTCAGGTATCGCATTTGCTTCTCAGTCGTTTGTAGTTGTAACTCGCGTAATTTGGTCTTGAGTGTCTGTAGTCGTGTGTGGATTTGCTTAGATGGGTTTGACTTGTGGCGGAGTTCTGTGTCTGTAATTTCTTGAATGAGTTTTGTGTGTTCTATGCCCGCTGCTCTTTTGGTGTTAGCTCCCAACTTGATGAATTCTCCCCTCATAACTACCTTGTGTGCGACCCATTGTGTTGCCAGTGTGGTTTCACAGTGTGTATGAGCCTCAAAGTATGCTTCTATTGTGTCTCTCAAGTGCGTAAAATGGTGCGGGTTGTCTAGTAGGGCCTCGTTCAATCTCCAAGTGCCTCTCCCCCTCGCCGGGTGTGGTATTTTCATTGTTATTTCCAAGGGGGCATGGTCCGACCATATTATGGGGCCAATGTGCATGTCTATAGCGTGTGGCAGTGTGCTCCTGTCGAAGAGGCAGAGATCAATTCTGGAGTACGTCATGTGGACTGAGGAATAAAATGTATAATCTCTTATACCCGGGTATAAATTACGCCACACGTCATAGTAGTCAGAGGAGTGCAGCAGGTTTGTCAAGTGTCTGCTCAAGGACAGAGAGACTTGTTTAGGAGGTCGGTTTTGTACCCGCTGCATGTCTATGTGCGGGTCAGGCGTGCAATTAAAGTCGCCACATACAATAGTGTGTCCCGTTTTGAATTGGTCTAATTTGCGGAACGCTTTGGTCAGGAATTCTTTTTGCGTATCATTTGGAGCATACAGGGAGGCTACCGTCAATTGGAGGCCGTTTAATGAGCCCACTAATATTAGCAGCCTGCCATCTTTGCTGACGTATTGTTTGGCTGGCGTAAATACCCAGTCCCCGTGAAAATATATTGAGACCCCTTTGGACTTAGTTGTAGCCATGGCGTGATAAGCTTGACCATATTGTTTGAACTTAAAGGTAGGTGGTTTACGTATAGTGAAGTGAGTCTCCTGGAGACACACTATGGCCGCCCTGGAGCGAAACATTTCCTGTGATAACAACCTGCGTTTATGCGGGCTATTGAGACCCTTGACATTCATGGAAAGAATTTTTAGGGTATTATCCATATTGTGTGGGTAACAGATTGCTAAATCGTGGGAAGCATGTTTGCTTTGACAGTGGTATAGGTCTGCTAGGAGGGGGTGGAGTGACAAGGGAACATAGAAACTTTGGTAGGGATAACAGAAGTAAACTTTTCACAACATAACTAAAGTATTTACACAGCGCCCTCAGGACGATCGGCGCCTTCTCCGGCTGAGACACAGACCAGCCCTTTGTGCTAGTATCTGCGCTCATCCGTGGGGGTGCGCTCGGTGTTAAGAGCGGGGGTGAGGATGACTTATATGCTAATTAAGGGTACACAGCCCTTGCATAACCACTACGTATTGCCCAGATATACATATTGTCATACATACAGTCCCAGGGGCTCCCCCCTCCTCCTGTGCCAGCTACAATCAGCCAGTTACAGCACGTGGTCTGGCATTACATGGGCCATGTGCATTTTCCTAATACCATGTGTGTCAAATTGCATATGTCATAGTTACGTGAGGTAGGTCAACATAGCATATGCTGGGTGAGGAAAGAGTCCCTGGAGCAGAGTCCTTTATGCTTTAGTCGGCGATCCCGCCATGTGCCATTCTGCTTGCATTCTTCGTTGTGGTGCAGTAGCGGCCGCTACCGTCGTTTGTGTCGGGAACAGTCCCCATTCTCGTATTAGGCGCATGCCTACTTCTGGTTCATTAACCGTGTGATTCTTGTTGTTCCTCCATATTATGATTTTCGTCGGATATCCCCATCTGTATTGGATGTTGTGGTTCCTTAAGGTTTTTGTCACCGTTATAAACTCTCTTCTCCTGGCCATTGTTAGGGCTGATAAGTCCGCATAGATGTTAATGTTGGTGTACGGTTCGGGTAGCTTGTCCAAGTTACGTGATGCAGTCAGCAGAGCATTCTTTGAGGTGAAGTAGTGAAACCTTGCAATCACATCACGAGGCGTATCTGGCGCCAGCCTCGGTGGTCGTGGTAGTCGGTGAGCACGGTCCAGTAGCCATGTTTCGTCGGCTATATCAGGCTGTAAGGTGGTGCAAAGCCCTTTGAGGAATGAGGGAAGTTCCTCTAGGCCCACTTTTTCTGGTATCCCGCGGAATCTGACATTGTTTCTGCGGGACCGATCCTCCAAGTCCGCCAGTTTGCGTTTGAGTTGTAGTTGTTCCTCCATTAGGTGCTGTACTGTACTTGCCAGCTCATTCTGCTCACTGCAGAGGTCATCTGTGCGGGCCTCAAGCTGGTTTGTGCGCTCACCCAGGTCAGATATTTCTCTTTTTATTTCATTAGTCGCTTTTTTAAGGTCAGACTGAAGAGTGACCCGAAAGTCCTGTAACATAAGATACAGCCGTTTTTCCGTCACTGGGGCGTCCGTGTATGGACAGGTTTCCCCTTCTGGCTCAGGTGTGCCTTCAGTTAATTGCGAGCAGGCTGGTCCGTCGTCGCCATCTTGTGTAAGCCGCATGCGGTCCTTCCTCGCGGATCGAATTTGATCCGTCAATTTAGTTTGTTTGGCTGGGGCCATGATTGCAATCTCGTTCCTGAGCTTATTTGCCTCTTGTGGGGCTGTGTATGATAGGAGTTGTTTGCGTTTATGTCATCCGAAGCGCGGAGCTCTCACTCCATGCGACCGCTTGCTTCGGCAGTTGGCCACGCCCCCCACAATCAACTTATTCTAAGTTGGCACCGCTATATTGACGATGTCCTAGTGTTTTGAACGGGCTCTATGAGTACCTTTGAGGAGATGGTTTCAAAATTAAATGAGGACCATATAGGTTTAAAACTCACTCATGTTATCAGTGAGAATCAACTGGAGTTTCTCGACCTTACAATCCGATTAACAATAGGAGGTGAAATTGAAATCGAACTATATCGTAAACCCACCTCGTGCAACAATTTGTTACGTTGGAACAGCCATCATGCCTACAAACTGAAGGCGGGCATCCCCTTCGGACAGTACCTTAGAGCTAAAAGGAACTGTTCCAATGAGGAAACGTTCCTAAAAGAAGCCAAGGCACTCAGAACATGTTTTAAAGAGCAAGGATATCCACATAGGATCCTAAAACAAGCTTTCCAACGTGTTTCAATAATGGACAGAGCCACCTGCCTTAGAAACTAAAGGAGCAAACCTACTAAACACACAAAAAAATGCATTGGGACCTACTATCAGTATTGGGATCCTATCCGTAAGATTTTTTTGGATAATTGGCCCATACTCACTCATGATAAGGATGTGGCAACCAGCCTTCCACAATTTCCCAGCATCACACCACGAAGAGCAAAAAACCTACGTGATTTACTGGTCCATAGCCACCTGGAACCCCAACAACCATGATCAACCTGGTTCCAATCGTCCAAAGGACTGAAAAGGTGTGGACATTGTAAGGCCTGCAGATATGTTACTCCATCTAAAAGTGTTCTCTGTACCAATACTAAAACTGTACATACGATCAAAGAATTTATGAATTGCAGCACAACTAGGGTCATCTATGTTATAACTTGCAGCTGCAATCTGCAATATATAGGGAAAACCTATCAAGAATTCCGCAGGTGAGTCTTACAACATGTCAACTCTGTTACAAATCTAAACATCTCCACACCTGTGGCAAACCACGTGAGAAATTTCCACAACACCGATTCTTCTAATCTTACATTCCAAATTTTGGAATGTATCCATCTTAACACAATAAAAGGGAACTTTAATCTTATACTTTTAAAAAAAGAATCAAGATGGATACATCAATTCAAAACACTGGCACCCTATGGACTCAATGAGGAGTTCAACTTTACTTCTTTTATACATAACTAAGTGCTGATCCCTAAAAAGTGACATCTTGGCAAATCGGTCCATCCCTATGATGAGCCTTCATTAACCTTTGGTCTGTTTAGTCATTAGGATCAATACTTCTAAAACAGAATAAAATTCTTTTACCAACTAGCTTAGCCACCTTAGGTCCCTGTATAACTCTAGCAACATCCTAGAGTCTTGCACCGGTGACTACTACTTGGTTGAGTATCACATCATTTCTACTTTGAACCCTTCTTTTTGAGTCCATTTATAACTCTTGTTGTGCTTTCACTATCCCTTAATAGTGATATTAGGTATCCCTATGTCACGTATTCATCCGCTTAGAAAAATGTGGTTAATGGCATTTACTGTCCGCACAGGAAAAGTTGTGCCGAGCAGCAACCAAATCCACAGAAGGGTTAATGCTGAGCAGCAATTATGCAAATGGTCCAGGAGGCGGGAGGGTCTGGGAGGGTCTGCTGCTGATTGGCGGGAATGATGAGTCCGTGGCAAACCGTTCGGTGAACCGTTCGTGGCAAACCGTTCGCGAACCGTTCGGGACATCACTATCTTTGGTACATTAAGTCCGGCCATTCTAAGGCCCGGTAATACAGTACCTATTAGTCATCTGTGTGACACAATTCTATGTGCTGGATCAACTAGTAATCCTGACACCCTATGATGGACATCCAAACACTCATTAGCTTGTTGGATTACAAGGGTTTATACTATCTAAACAGAATAACTTCTTGATTTTAAAATTAGCTAATTCAGCCACGTCAGGCACTTTAGCATTGAGCCTGAGTCTCGCACCGGTTGGCCGAAAACTCATAAAAGGGTTCATTCCGGTAATTGAGACACCTCTTAGACTGTTGAATCAGATCTATCTGTTGAACTAATTACAAATGTACCGGTGAGTTAATGCCCCTAAAAATGTTATGTATCATGTTGTTGGGTACTATGTAATACCACTGTCTTTATTTGGCATCTGCTCATTCAGAGCACATTCTAATTACCATTAGTATTTTTGCCAATTTATTTATATAATTTTCTGTTCTCCACTACATATACTCATTTGATCCCTATATTATATAATTTGAAATATTTATTTTTCACTCGTTCTGTGTTTGAGTCCTGCACCGGTAATAATGTACGGAGACAGGTTGCATTTTCCTCAATCTAGATATCACTTCATCTGTCAAGATTACTTTTGGATATATTAATAACTATATATCTAATAATTTTAATTCGAGAACTCATTCATCTACAATGTGAATATAGCTTTGTCTCACACAGTCAATTGATTTTATGCGTATTAATCTTTATTCAAGTCTTAAAATTTACTTTAAACATATTTGTCTATGAATCTATTATCCTCTTTTTTTTGTCACCACATATATTTTTACGGTTAAGTATCCTAAAGGGTTAATACCGGCAGCAATTGAGATACTCCTCCTCGCTGACCTTATTGGTTAATGGTCACTTAACCCTAACGAAGCAAATTAAAGTTTCACATATTTAAACTCAATACTTACCGGTTCTCTGTTCCCCTCTGATGAGTACCTGAACGAAACTCGTGCGTCAGGGGCTCAGGACGCAGTAGTCGGCAATATCTCAGTGTTCTATTTCACACTGCCGTTTATTTGACAGTTATCTTTTCTGAACGGCCATCCTGAGATTGGGCTTCATGCCCATTTTGTTTTTATTTTTTACTTATT